ATGTGTATAAGAGACAGGCGGTGGGCCGGATGAATACGCGTTTATTCGTCAATCTTCAAAAATTAATGTCTCGTTTACGATTGCGAATTTTGCAAAATGGTAGAGGACTTTTCGATTCAGTTTAGTCCGTTCTACCTACCCATGAACGGTGATACACCAATTATGAGACACCCTGTATATTTAACAGCTAATAAAGTTTTATGCTACTGTAATAAACAATACATAGAATTTTTGGTATCAATTTTTGTCACACAATCGTTGTGCTTACTTCGTATACGATGCTTTGTGTAGTGCGTGAACTATGTATGTAGTAATACCAAATCCTGGCACAGTGACCAAAAATGATAATTCGTATCTAACCGCGGACAGTGCAGCTGGACCAATCCAAACGGGAGACACTTGGCACTTGACAGCCTGTCCTTTACGATCTGTAACTCTGACAAATGGCGTCGATACAATCAAAGTTTGCACTTTTGTCCTCTGTCTTGGGAGAGGATTGTACAGGATAATTTTCCTCGATGGCTTATCGTCTCCAAGATTAAGAACATGCTTCTCACCCACGCTCGTATGGCGCGACCTTCGAGAAAAATGATTACACATTTTATATTAATAAACATCATTAACTTATATAAATTCATGCATGAAATATTAATTGTTATTCGCTATTAAGTGTTTTAGTACCTAGTCTCATCCAATGAAAAATACACAGCTTCGACATTCATCGATGATATTTGAGGAGTTCTCAATAAATGCGCTATAGATTGTTGAAGTACGTGAGCCGAATTATTTAACGCCATTATCATCTTCTGGGCGTAATCTATCACAACATTGTCTCTAGCAGTTCCGGTAACTCCATCGTGATGTTGAAACAGAGAGTGCCACATCCTGGCCTTGCTCAAACGAGACGCAAGGCTGCCTTCTACTAATTGATCATTGCCCTTAGCCCAAGCTATAGCAGCCAATGCCTCTGCTCCTCTCAAAGAACCTAGTAATACACGATCCAATCTTTTGTGGAAAGGCCTACAAATTTAAGAATATTATATTAGACAATTTACTTAAATGTAGTTTCTTTAGAAAAAAAAATGTTGATGGTTACATCAAAAGTTTCATACCTGGTGGTATAATAGCCGCTCCAATAATGATCATCTCTATCGGAATAGGTAAAGAAATCGCCAGACAAAGTAGGAAATTCATTTAAGTTGCGTTTATCTTTGACCGCTTCAAAGTAATCGCTCAACGTTCCAAATTGTATTTGAACGTTCAAATGTTGATTTTCGTTCATGTAGTTGAAAAGCTTTTGATAATTGTCATATTGGGCCTCCCACTCGGTGAGATGTGTATACCTGAAGTCATCGCCTAAAGGCGCAAGTACTACGTTGGTCTTGAAAAGCTGTGCCTTCTTACGATACTGATCCAGCAAGAGCAACGCTCTTTCCGCTACGTTCGCTTTGGTTATGGTCTTCGGCGGAATCTTCCACGGGCAGCTGAGACCAAAGTTCTGCATTCTGTAAAAATCAAATTGGCAACACACTTTCGGATCCGGGCCGCACGTGTGAGGAACGTCGTAACTGTAGAACGGCATAACGTGAGTAAAGAATTCCGTGGAGCCGTCATTATCCCATAATTGTCGCCAACGAAATTCCAAATTTTTATCCTTGGCTAGCCTCTTCTTTACCGAATAATGAACTCTCTGTATCAAGAGGTTCTCCAAGCCTGAATTTTTCAAGAGGTACGGCATCGTGGGAGAAAGACCAAAGGGATCGATGGCCCATCCTGAATTTGGTGTATAATCTAAATTATACTTTAACCATTGATGGCCCTCAGTTAATTGCGTGAGCTGAGCGATCCAATGAGATACAGACTCATCTGGCATCACCCATCCTCCCGAGACAATTTCCAATTGTCCGTCGTGTATCAGACGACGCACCTCGTCTTTCGTCTCTTTGGATTGATCGTCCCACCAAAGTTTCAGGAAAGATATCTCCGCCCAAATAAACTTGCGCCTCCTATCTTCGCCTAGCTTGATCACCATATTGTTCAATATGCTCCTTGTTTGGAACATATAGTATTTTTCAAAAGTATTTAACCAGCCGGGATCGTTATGCGAGTGAGGCACGACGAAAACTTTCAGCTTTCTGTTGGGATGCCATTGTTTTTCATCGTACATGATGTTCCAGCCTTGCTTCCAAACTCCACCATCTGGATTATCAAACTCTAATTGCTTATACAATTCTAACATCTGTATATCAACCTCGGGGACTTTCTGAATATTAAAATTACACGTGAGACTTTTTCCTAAATGCGGAGTCTTAGTGTTTGAGCGATTAAAATGATTCATTGGTTGTATAACAGGTACATGATTATCTTTGATTTTTGCCGCTTGTTCCTGCAAAGCGTTCATGATTTTATGATGTTTGTCGAAATCCTTCTCTAATTTTGCCAATCTGTTCTCAAAATGAAGCCACTCATTCTAGAAAAAAAAAAGAGTAATTTTTCGATTGTTGCAATAAATATTATCACATGCCTCGGTGGTCGAACAGGCTAAGACGCCCACTCGGAAAGGGAGATTCAGATTCAAATCCTGGCTGAGATAATATCATCATTTTGATTCTGACAGCCGACCAAGTGTGTTACGCCTTATTATTTATTAATCTAAATTCTTCGGTTTTATCCATTGTTATTATTTTATTTTATAATCTAACTTGTTAAGTATGGTACTTTTATACTTCACAATCTAGAAACTGGAGGAGACTCATATCATATGAGATAAACGAAGCAACGAATATTAGCGGAATTTTTTTCTGTACATTAGGCTTAGGTTTTGTTGAAGATGGCCTGAATTAGGCATATATTCACTTATAATACAAATCAATAAAATAAATTTCTATACACTGGTGCATACGAAATTTGCTATACACTGTCGTGGAAATTTGAAAACGGTAATACTTTTTTATCTAACGGTAAATAAGAAAGGTGGGGATAACAACAGATATATTCTAACAACAGATAAAGATAAGACAAAGCAATTTCTTCATTTAGATATTTATCTAGATAATTTTATATAGATAACACATGCAAATACTGGATACCACACCAATAAACTTAAATCTATAGTTGTTTGCCGCAGAATTCTATCATTAAAATAAAAACTATAAAATTTACTTTAAAATATTGTGTAACTACTTGTTGGAAAATGAAGAAAATTTATTACAAATTCAAACAAAGCAAATGTCAAATTATGAGCATGAAGCATGTTAAAATTAAAAAGCTTTTAAAATTTATTACGTATATTTTTGAAAAAATTAATTAAAAATTAATTAAAAAACGCTTTTACATAAAAAGGAAACCTAATTTTACAAAAATTTTACAAAAAATATATAATTTAATATTTCTTTTTTGTATAATACTTCCAATAATAATTACTTTTATTACATAAAGAAATTCTGCAAGTTTTGTAAATAAAATGCCATATGTTTTCAGTATTCCAAATAAGTATTCCTCAAAATACTTTAGAAATACAAACAACAATTTTAGTCGAAATTTTATTCTAAATCGAAAATATGAACAAACAAGTTAGAGTTTCAGAATAAAACTAATTTCAATTGTTAAAACTCATTTTGATTAATTTGAAATGTGAAAAGATATATATTATTATGTCAGTGAACATATTAAAAGTCTAAAAAAAAGAAAGAATTAGATGTAAAGAAACATGTAGTCTTTTGATGATTTAAATAACAAGAAGTATACAAACAACTAAAAAAATACTTAAAATTTTTATTTAAATATGATAAAGCATCCTCTATGTGTAGCTTCAATTTGAAATAGACAAAGGAAAAACGGAAATTATTACAAGACATATAAAATTGTGAAGCCAAATAAAACACAATCAAAACTTCTAAAGTATTCACTTATAAATTTGTTTTTTGTATTACTAGCATTATAGACAGGCGTGCTATTTAATATTTTTACATTTGCCATTACACTATTAGCCTCAATACATACAAAATGCAATGACAGCCGCTGTATCTTTTTTAAGAAAATACTGAATTGATTTTTATAGATTTCTACCTCTTCAAAATGAATTCAACATGCTTTTAAAAAATTTTAATTTTATTAAAAATTATGAACAATCACAAGGTTACAAAGAAAATTGACTTTTACCAAACCATTAAAATCCAAAAATTAAAAAATGCATTAATCAAAATATGAAAGAGAAAAAAATAAAACAAATGATTCGAATATGCAAGGCTATATGATTAAGCGATGAAAAAAAGAAATACAAAAAATAAGTGGTTTTGCTTTAGAATGTCATAATTATAAGTACTCTTTTTGATCGGATCCTATTGAAAATGATATAACTAAATGACAACTTACATTGCTGACGGAAAGCTTAGGACCTTGTCCAGGAGGGAGAAGGGTTAGATCCATCATTAAATAAATCATTACGCAGCAGGCTAGGATCAAACCCACTCCGAGAATGGCAATGGTCTTTCTAGTCCTCATTGTTAAAGATTAAATTCAACGGTTCCTCTCTCACGCTAATTTCAGCCAATAATTCAATACTGATAGGGAAAGTAAATCCATTCGATCTTAACCTAATTTATTCACCGTTACGAAGAGGCTACATGTTAGGGACGGAGTTTATATTCTCAATTATCCGACACTTCGGATCCGATAACTGGATTATGGATTTATGATTATCATAAATCCCACTTCGAATTCGCTTCACAGTGTAACAATTTATTTATTGGCCAATATATTGACAGCTCCTTCACTGTTAAGTTCAGTAGTGCAAACGCCGCCGCTACGTAAACATGTAATATATAATACATGTACTTAATCGCTCTTGTTTTTCAATTATGTAAATAATTTCCAACTAGTAACGTCGGCAGTGAAATGCTATGACTTTTCTTCTTTTTTTCTTGATAATTTTCCTCCTCACGGTCACAATATCGCGATTTATCAAAGATCTATTGAATCTATTGTAGATATATTATGGATCTCAGGGAAACCTAACCTAATCACAAAACATATTCCAACCTCAATGATTCCAACACCAACTCCGACTAAAGCCGGGAGCACAGACCATGGTGGAAGCACAATATATAGTAGCGCAACTCTCGCAATTCTGCGTGTACGAAATTGAACTGCACATGCGCGAGCTCAGGTGTAACCAATCACGTAACAGATATATTTTCTATCGCACTAGCTCTTTTTACTATTCTATAGTGCTCTCTGTCATTTAAATGCCTCGACAGCCAAAATTGACGGTAAACGTGGCAGAAGTGAATTGAAGTGGATTTAAAGTTAAAAGTAGGATATAAACTTAGAACATACATTACTGGAAGGAGAATTGCCTATACCGTCCATGCATCAAGCTGAAGCCAACATCTGTGCGAGAGAGAAAGGTATAGATTTCCAATTGTCTGTAGGGTGAAATCCCATGGAGCCAGCGTACGGCGTATGTACCGGCGTATGGCGTAAAGGAACTAGGCCAATCATAAACAGTACGCCCGTTTTGTTTACGCCAGCACAAATTTACGCTAATATTTACAACGTTCCAGCGTAAATTTGTCCTCTCATGACTTTCATCACTTTGTTTGACTACCCTGCTGAAAATGTTCGATTAAAACCGATTAAAACGTAATCCGTTTTAATCGATTTTAATCGGTTTTAATCGGTTCAATCCGTGCCCGGATTAAAAAGCAATCGGTTTTAATTCCGAAC